GCATTCTCCTGAGGCAAGGACTCAAAATCACAGCCCCTGGCAACCAGGGCAATAATCATGCTACAGGCAAATCCCAGCTCCAGCCTGTAATGGAGAATTTCAGCCCATCCATATCTACTCACCCTTCCTTTTGGGAAAGCAGCAGTAAGGCCATGATTTGCTTTGTTTTGTTTTGTTTTGTTCACCAGAACATCCAAGCAGTTTCAAGCACTGCTTTGAGGAACTCAGAGACATGTTCTAACCTCCTATTTAGAGGAACACTGTTCATGTCATTCTTAGGGGCAACTTGTTAAAATGAGGCCAAACCAAGCAGGTCTTAGAGAGCAAGAGCTGGGACCTTGGTTTTTGCTGCCTTCAAAGGCTGTGTGGCTGAAGTCCTACTTGCCTTCTAACAAGATGTCTTCATTTTTCAAGGCAAAACTAAAACTGCTAGGTAATGGGAGATGACAAAAAGGAAACAAACCAAAAAGGAATCCTTTGCCACCAGTGAAAGTGGGAGGCTAGACAGAAACTCTAAGAGGAGATGAACACAGGACTCAGGCATGGAGACATGACATGGTGCTCTTGCTACTGCTCTCTTTTCACAAGCCTGTGGAAGACAAGGAAATTGCTGGAGAATGGAGTCACTCTTTGAGAACAGAGAGAGTCAAGACCAATCCCTTCCAGCACTAATGCTTTTTATGAAGCTGCTAGGGCCCCTTGCAGCAGGTCCTGCCTGGAAGACAATGGGATCAGAAGGTTCCACTATCTTGTCTAAGCCCCTAAAGGGCTGACATTGCCTTGAGAGAGATTTTTTTCAGTTTGTTCCCTGAGTTTTCCAGAAGAATCTGCTTGTGACCTGCAGACCCAACAGCTCTTGCTTAAGAAACCAAATGCTTCATGGGATCAGATAGTACAGATCTCCATTTACTTCTGAGAGGGCAGCGGGGAGAGGGGAGAAAAAGTGCTGCTCACTGCTGCTACTACTCTTTGTAGGGATACACAGTTAAGGCTTCTTTCCTTCCTTTCTCTCCCAAAGACTATTTGTGGATTTTTCCACTGGAAAAAGTTTAATCTGTTCAATTTTGTCATCCAGTTTCACTGGCAATACAGGTGCAAACTGAACCACAAAGTTCTAAGGTTACTCAGGGTGCAGGAGGTTTGACATGTACAGTTTGACCCAGAACTGCCAAGTGCTTGTAAGCAAAAATTTTCTGACAGCATCTGCTTGGGAACCTGCTTATGGGCAGCACTGACCCAGCAACAAACTGAAAGGCTGCTCTAACCCAGAGCACTGTAAGAAACAACACACTGTGCATGCGTGTAAAATCCTGTCAGATTACTTTTTTTCAGTGCTTACTAAGAGCATACAACTGTCTGTAAGGAAATAACAGCATTCATTCTTCTCAGAGATAAAACCCTCTACTTGATGAAATACAAACTCCCTTTAAAGGCAGCTTGCTTTTCCAGTCCAAAGTGACTTTACGTTCTTAGCCATAGACTGCCCTGCAGTGGTGAAGCCAAAATCTGCAGCCTTTCTGTTTTTTGTAAAGGATCTTTTAAATTCCTTATTAAGAATTAGTTTGCACATCACTAAAAGGGACAGAAAGAGCCCATGAAAACTACAGAACAAACAAAAAAAAGCAAAGCAAGGCATATCTTAGATTTCAGTGTAAGTATAGTGTGCAGCAAAATGACTAGTAATATTTTATCTCTTTTCCAAAGAAAACATGGCAGATCTGATCACACCTTGTATCTGTTTGTCTTCAGAAATTATTTGCTGACTTCAGCCAAATTTAACTGCAAAAATTGAAACCTCAAAGACAGTTAAGTATCAACAAATTTTGAGAAAAGTGTTTTTTTGTAAAAAAGAACCCTAAAGGAAAAGTATGGCTGTAGTGTCAGCATAAAAAATTGTTAGACAACAAAGAATCCACAGAGGAGAGCGACTTTGCAAATGCCCCAGGAGAAAAATCTCAGTCACATCTCACAATGAACATAGAGATGGAAATCCTTAGAAACCTGCACTAAAGCAGAAACCAGGCTTCATTAGGTCTGGAGCTTACTTTGCAAACTGACAAAAACTTCCTTCTTAGGTCAGCTACCTGTCCAACTCCACAGAAATTAGCTCTCTAATCATAGTATTGCAAACCTGGAAAACCTCTGATGTTTAATTTTCTGTGCATTCCTACCAGTTATTAGCTCTCTAATCATAGTATTGCAAAGCTGGAAAACCTCTGAAGTTTAATTTTCTCTGCATTCCTACCAGTGTCTGCATTCTAAGCTGCAGCACATTTGACAGGTTGGTAGTAGCACAAAATGGTGCCACCAATCGTTTAGGTAGCAAAGATGCTAGTATTGATATAATACCAAAAGTATTTTTTTTCACCTACAGCAGGGGTGGTTTACCCTCATTGTACTTCAGATGATACAAGAGAGATTAACATCTTCCAGCTAATCTGCTTCAACTCCCCTTACAATCAGATCAGATAAAGAGGCACTTTAGAATGTAATTCAGCTAATCTCCTTTGGATAGATCTTTTGTTGTGAGACAAATGATTGTCAAAAAATTACTATTGCTCTCCATTTGCTGTAGAGGAAGCCTAGGATTACTAGTTTAGAGCTGGGCACCTGCTTTACAAAGGTTGGAATGTGGAGAGCTCTTACTTTAGTACTAACTGTTCATCCTGGAAGCACTGAATGAACTTCATATTCCTAGACCTGAGGCACTACCTTTTTGGTGAAAATACATAATTATGATCAACTGAGACAGTTCTAACATACACAGCCCTCCCATAAGATCTGGTGCTAAACAAGAAGTTTCTCCAAGTCATCTGAATCACTGCATGATCATTATTAATCTTCAGCTTTGATCTGACAGACAGTATCAACTTCTCTTCCACCTTACACATTGGGTCCTCTGGACAGTACCATTTCAGTTTTTATGGAGCCAGAAATAGACACCCCAAAAATTTAGGAAATATATCGCTTGACTTCTTATAACTTGAAAAACAACTTTTCTACTCCTTTCTAACTGAGACTCATCAAGATAGTACATGAATAAGTACAAAAGCCATGTTTTTTGAAATGTGCTTTAATGAGAGAAATTTTTCACAAAAAAGACTGCACTTGGAAGACAATACATTTGTAATCCTATTTTGTGCAGAAATAAATAGAGTGAGGTCAAAATATATCAGAGGGAAAACAGAAAGGAGTAACTTGGAAAAACAAAGTCAAAAGTAGTCAAAGAAGGTGACAATGGTGCACAATCCTTTCAGCTGGATGCTGCTAGATTTTTCTGCCTTCATTTTGATGACAAGCTGATGGCCCTCTTGATACGGTTCAGAGTGCTTGCCTTGTCATTTTCTTCTTTGTTCTGCAGCTCTCTGGATTGTGAGCTGCTGCATTCAGTGTCTTGACAGCTGCAGCTTTCCACATATATGTACTTATGTGAAATTGTTTCTCCAGTGGGGCATTTCAGTTCCACGTCCTTCACAGTAGTTTTTGTTTCTCTGCAGCAGGAACAGCTGTGGTCCATAGAATTGGCCTCAGCAGAGTATCTGTAAACATGGAAAATGGCAATATTACTCTGTGCCAGAAGCCACCATACAGAAGGAGAGGGTGAAATCAGGTACAGAACTCCTGTGAGAGGAGCTGTAGTTGTGAATAACGAAAGTGTCAAGCTCATCTAACAGAGCAGTGATTATAAAAATAAGCTTATAAGGTTCATTGCACTTGCTGGGATTTTTCTTTTTTTCTGTTAAAACAATTGGTACCAGAGTCCTGTTAAATAATCCCAGTGAGTTCTGGGAGATCAGCTTCCTCAGATTCCTCTCATAATCCCAGCACAGATGGATTTTCAATATACCAGATCAACAATCAAGGACAGACAAAGACCTGACCTGGCTAAGAAAACTGCATAGACAAAGGGCTACAATGCCATCTAAAATGGCATCATATCAATGAATTAGCTACAAAGGCTACAACCACATCATGTGAATCAAAATGTGTGTTTCCCCATCAGGGCAGTATTAACAGGACAGGGAAGCAGCAGCTCTTTCTGTTCCTATCTTACAGCAAAGTATTTTTGCAGCCTTGTGTCCATCAGCTTCCCACGTACCATTCCTAACCTACAGAATCTGCCAATGTCAGGCTATAAACTGTGTCAGCATCCATCTTTTTCTTGTATTTGTGTGCAGACACAACCACAACAAGACTCTAAGATGATAAGGCATTTCAAAATACTAACAAGCTCCCTGGCAACTCAGTGTTCCATGTGATATTATAGATCAGTTTTCTTCCACATAAGGTGCCCCGTGGCATAGCCAGTGATAGCTAGCAGGTGACAGTTTCTTTGGGAAGTTAGAATTGTCTTTCCAGTGTTTTAATAGCTCACTACCAGGTGTCCGAATAGTCATAGAATTGTCTTTCCAGTGTTTTAATAGACCACTACTAGGTGTCCTAATAGTCCATTTCTTATAGACACCTTTTTGTATATTCTCTCATTTTCAGAGAAAAATGTACAGTCAAATTACTGTACTAACACCACCCCTAAAGCATTTGTTTTCTGATTTCTTTACTGTGTAATAATTTTGCATGTTTGAATCTTCCTGTGTGTTCCATTTTAGATGTTAGTTATCAAGAAGCAGCTTTTCAATTTATGAGCATCAAGTCTGGCTGCTCTCTGGGCTCATTCCCATTACAGGAAACAATCTGTGTTCTTTTGTGATGATTTCTAGCCAAGGTGGTCTGACACAATGACAGACAAGCCAGCTCTTAATGGATGAATAGACTTTATCATAGCTGTCTGAATCCCAAGGCAATTTAATACACTTTCCTGCTTTGTATTAAGACGACTCAACTGTTCAGCCACAGATTTCATGATTTTCTGTCCATGATTTGGAGAGCAGATAGTTCCAGGTCTTCTACCATTCTGTAGTCTGCCTATTTATTGTTCCTTTTATACAAACAAGCTCAGTGCCAGCAGTATCTAAATCTCATTGTCCAGTAAGTTTACTTACAGTGAGAAAGTTCCACATGTTCCTTCACATTCAGTCATGACAACTCTGTCCACAGAACGGCAGCCCTGATAGACAATGAAGTCTTCTCTTTGACGGACAGAGCACGGTGTACGGCTGTCCAGAGGTGCACCTACAGGGAAAGATCAGAAAACACTTCCAGTGAAATAGCTCCAGAAGTTCCTTGCAGTTTAGCATCCTCTGGGCTTTGCTAGTGCACTCAAAGAATTGTCTTAAGTGGTTTTTCTGCTTCAACTTAAGCTTTTCCTGAGAGATCAGACAGTGAATGCTTGGAATAACAAACATAAATATTAAAGTATCTATTTAAATACAAATCTATCAGCGTCCATGGCTCGAAAATGGGTTGATTTAAGAAGACAATTCATTCTCTGTATTGTTGATTCAGATACAGGCATACTTACAGGTTTTGCAGCAACCATTAGGCAGGAACGAAACAGTTCCCTGAAAGAAGAAAGAAACAGAAAAAATTATATTACTTTATTTCCCTGTATTAAAGAGGATTTTAGACATATAACTGAGGAGAGTAACTCCTCAATGCCTGGAAATCAGGATTTTAGACATATAACTGAGGAGAGCAACTCCTCAATGCTTGGGAATAATCAGAGAAAACTCTGGCATTGTTCTGAATAAGCAAAGTTAACAGTCTCTTCCAGTCTTGAAATCTATCGCTTTACAAAGGATTGTGAAAATAATTCTTTGAAGGAAGTCTACAGTTAACATCTGGCATTTTTCCTCAGAAACAATTACAAACAGTGTTTTCTTGGAGTCTACTGTATTTGAATGGGAAGTATGCATGGTGTTACTGGTGGCCTACTGACTGAGCATCTTGTGTTTCTGTAATGCTCAAGAAAACATGGTTCTGGTTGAGACAGGACCCCAAAGAAAGCAGTCAGCAAAGAACTAGTATCTCAGTGCTGTCCACTATTTTGGCTACTGAGACACAGTTACCAGTTGAACTCTCACCCAGATACCTCATTTTGTATACTCTATGGGTCTGTGCATGGATGCAGCAGAAACTTTTGACTGAGAAACTATGGTGAAAGGTCATCAGAGCTTAATTTTGCTTTTGCTAGCTAGATGGATGAATGAAACTGAGGTAATCTCTGTGTTGAGTAGAGGGTAGGAGCTTAATTTTGCTTTTGCTAGCTAGACGGCTGAATGAAACTGAGGTAATCTCTGCGTTGAGTAGAGGGTAAGTCTTTCACTTTTACTTACAGGTTTGCAGCTCTCCTCATTAAATGCTGGACAGGTAATCTCAGATGTGGAAGAGATAAGCTGGTTGTGGACATCTACGCAGCTATAAATTGTGCAGTTGTTCCTAGGATCATTCTTAAACTCTCCAGGCTGCAAGCAAAATGCAAAATGTAAGAAGGATAGCTAAAGGAACCTCAGGCAGAAATTTTCTTGTCCTCTGACAATGGCTTTCCTTTTCTTTCACTGTCAATTATTTTGAAGTTAACAGACATCTTGGATACAGATTATTACATGTATTGCAGTATGTGGAAAGAATCTTCAGTTTTACACTGGATTTTCCTTGAGAAAGAAAAATGTCTCTGAAGTATATAGGGTACCTTAACAAAATCATCCATGCCAATGGATTTTGCACTGGGAAAGTCAGACTGTTACATGGTAATTATGAAAAACCCTGAACCTTCACGCTACAGGGGAAATAAAATTGTTCCATATGCAGGCTTTACTAGTGTTTTTCAATATACAGAAATCAAATGACATAGAACAGCCCAAGCTTCCAGACATTGGAAGAAAACCCCTTCCAATGGTATTGGATTTGTCATTCCAGGAAGAGCCTTTCAGAAAATTTGATTTCATGAGAACTATGTTCAGCTGAAGAAATTGTAGATAGGCTTTGCTTTAGGTGAGCCTCGGACCTTTCAGGTGCAAACTTACACTAAGCCTTATCTCTGGGAATCTAGGATGTAGCACATACTTACACTCAGGATGAGTTCAGCATTGTTTCCTGCATGTATAATACATTTAGTCTGCACACACCTTCCACAACATTCACCCTTCACTGGTTGAAGCTCGTATCCCTAGAAATAAAATTCATAAAAAAATAGCATTATGATAGATTAATTTTTGAGAAATAAGAATAAAATTCATAAAAAAATAGCATTATAATAGATTCATTTTTGAGAAATAATTTAAAACATACTAATCCACTAATTGATAGTGCTTTGAAGTGCACTCTAGATTTGTGCCTTTCTATGTTCCAACCCAACAGGAGACAAGTAATAAAAGCAGGTTTTAGATGGAATAAATTAAAGCACTATAATAAATATGCCTAATAATTAAATATCACTCCATTACATGCTCTACAGAAATTTCCTAGCTAATCCTGCCAATGTGAACTGGTTGCTGTCAGTTACACAGTCAAGCTGCATGCAGTAGATTGCTCTAGGACAGTTGGTATCCTATCCATGTTGGAGTTGGTCTCTGGACTTCAATTTCTCTAGGACAGTTGGTATCCTATCCATGCTGAGTTGGTCTCTGGACTTCAATTCCCTATCCTTTGCTTAATACCACTCATTGATCAAACTGATTTTCAAATCCGTGGGTATTTTGGGTGGGTTTGTTTGTTTGTTTTAATTTGCCACTTACCGGTTGACAGTTTGTGTTGCATGGAACATGTTTACATGAGATGATATTCAGCTGAGTGTTGACGTTAACTTCATTAGTGCAGAAACATGTCTGACACTTATCAACAAAGACTGAGGAATTAGGCTACAAATTTGAAGGAAAAAGCATAAAGTCTTATATTAGCAAGATATTACATGTGACAGTCATTTATTACTTTCAAAAAAGTCAAATCAAGCAACGGAAAAGGAAAAACCCATGAAGACTATTGGATGGCTATTTGGCTAGCCATTTATGAAGACAACATTTTAAATACTGAACATAATTTAATGTGTGTCTTTATTGAAGTCCCATATAGCAGTGATAATCTCTGATATTAAAAGGACAGGTGTCATGCAAATATCTGCAACAAAACTATTACCAGACTCAACAGACTTTATCAGAAATCTAGGTTTGTTTAGAATAATACTTATGTACCTATCTTTTCACTTTTGAAAGCAGAGTCCTAAAGCTGCAATGATGTACTGACAGTAAACACGGACTGACTTTTTAAAATGCAAGCACACTTAGCCCTAATCTGTCTCTGATACTGTCATAGAAGCAGCTCTTATATTTTTTTCAGACACTGCAACCTTTCCTGAAAAGATTTAGGCTTTTTGAAATTGATGAACTCCTGACAGAAATTGGAAAATTTTTTAAATATTGATTGTACTGGATAAACCTCTTCATAGCACTTCTGATCAAATCTACTAACTGGTCTTTTAAGCATTTTTAGAAGACTGTTGAAACAGGAACTTACCATGAACTCAGCATTCTGGTGTACACAAACCCCCTTGGGAACTGTTAATAAGCAAGGAGTTAAATGTTTACATAGGGAAAAAGGAATGAAAAATGACCTCACCCCCCTCTAGTCAAACTCATTTCTTCCACAATGAATCCCAATTCATATGGTCAAAGACATTGGTTATTCCCCAATTCTGGTAGCAGATATGACATGTGTAAAGTACAATCTTATACTGCATTTGCAAAAAGGGAAGAATTGGTCCAGTATATGCAGCCCAGTTCATAGCCAAGAATGTCCACTTAACAGGTACAGGTAGTTCCCTTCTTCAACTACCAAGGACAAAGCAGTCATTGTAAAGCTGTCTGCTACAGGGGAGGCTTATAGGAACTTTTTGCAAAATAAAGCTGATACCACAGTCCCATTTCATTCTGTGGCTGTTCTTAAATGTAATTGCAATCAGGGAAATTGAACTTGAGTCACCTGAGCTATACCTAATTTCCCAGCTGTGATAACTATAGCAGTAGTAACCAATGTTAATAGTAACTAATTTGTGGAATCAGATTGCATTTAATACCTCCTTTGATAGGCTATTGTATGCAATCTTAACAAGGGTAATGCTAAGTTATGTCATATATAATGCTAATCATTGTAATATATCTCCAAGGGACTTACCACATTGGTACACAGGACAGCACTGACCACTGGGAATAAAAGAATGAACTTCAAATCCCAGAGCACACTTGGGGGCTTTAGCTGTGCAGAAGCTAGTATTGCATTCTGAGAAAAAAAACCAAAACAAAACAAAAATAAGCCAGAAAGTACACTAAATCACAGCTACTAGTAATAGGTGTCTATCAAAGCATTTAGGATGAACTTTCCATTGCTAGGAAACAGTCCAGATTCTCTTCAAAGAAACAAATTGCAGAAAGGGAACACATTTGTCATAGTAAATGCAGGCACTGCATGGGGGGCACTGCATTACTTAATGAAACCTTTTCTACTATGTAATTATCCTGTGTTAATAAACTATCACAATTCTGTGCAGAGAAGTAGCTGTTACTCTCTCCAGGACTGTGGGCAACAGCTGCAAAATGGAAATCCACAGAGAATTCCATAAGTTATCTGCACTTTGCTTGAATAAACTGTGGTCCTGAACTCAAGAACTGTTGATTGACTTATGCTGAGTCCCATAAGTGTAAATTCAGTTATGCTAAATCATTGCAATATTAAAATGTATTTTCTCTAACACTGGATAAGCTGGTTTTAAAAACATACTACTTTTTGACTCCCTGCTGCAGGTCTCAGCTGCTAAAGTAGCTCAGTCTATTTTCACTTCTATTTTGAAGAGGTGCAGAAAGATTAGAAACAAAGGTATAAACTCACTGCAGGTGACAACAGGGCAGCAGGCATCTTCAGGATTGACTTCATTGACCTTATAGAAGCCTTCTCCTTCACAAGTGATCTTATCATGTTGAGGACATTTATGAGGCCCACATACAATGCCCTGTCCACCTTCCAGGCAAATACAGTCCTGACAGTCCACTGTAAACCTTTCCCCAAACTGTCATTAAAGAAAATAAAATTAGTGATTGCATAGTGACCAATCCAAAAGAACAGAAGGAAAATCAGGAATAAAAAGCTGGGAGACCACAAAATAAGACTGCATCAGTGAAGGCCACTCTGCCCTCCCCATTCCCAAATTCTACATGAAATCCGAAAGCATATGGCATCATACCTCTCTTGGTACCATATCCACTCCAACACAGCCTGTGAAAATAACCAAATAAATTTCCATTATCAGTCATGTAACACTAGACATCTCTGCTGTATGAGTACTGCATACAGTCAGATCAGTAATGCATACATGAGGAGGAAACAACAAAGAGGAAACAAACATGCATCCATCCAAGTGAAGCAGTAAAACTCACCACATGTTTTCACGCAGACATCCACGCTGGAGTCGTACCGCATTGTTCCATTAGGACAGAAGCAGCCTTCCACTTGTTTTGTTGAAGTTTCATTTTGTTGACTGTATGAGACAAAATGTTCAGAGGAACACCATTACTGTCATAGGCACACAGAGGAGGGTTATGGCGAAGATAAAATGGCAAAAAGTTTAGGGATTTGTCAGTGTTTGTGTTTGGTATAGCTGAACAACATAGACAGTACAGGCATCCAGATTTAGGATCAACAGAACAGTGGAAATAAATCTGACAGTCAGTTTAAGGCATGAGAGGAGGTTGCATTTGCTCATCCACCTATGCACTAGATATGATTGAACAGTTGTGTGAGCTACAACCAACAGTGAAGGAATTCTTTACCTTGTTCTGCAGGTTAACTCTTTAACAGGGCCACATGCTCTGTATTCTTTATTCGAGGGGCATTTGTAAGCTGGAAGAGAAGATCAAAAGTAAAGAAGAGCTCAGTAACAATATAATATAAAAGCCTCATGATCTTATGCCAAGAAATTACTGTCTACACATTTTCCTATGTGTCTTTGACAATCTTGAGAAGCTAAGAGAAAAAATATCAGATACCAGATTCATGTCTCTGAATGGAATGATTTTGTGCAATTTAGCCATAGAGATATAGCACCATACTTTACATTAAGGAGACAAAGCCAAGAGTCTACACCTGGATTGCAACTGTTTTCATTACTTCAGTCACTTTTTCACAAGTTCTTAAAAAACAGTATATTCTTACCCTTTGAGCTCTTCTTACTACAGCTGAAAAATAATGCATATATCCCTAAATAGAGAGTGATCTGCTGATCAGCTTGTGCAAAATACAAAACTGCCTGTGTACAAAAAAGTACGTACTGATACAGATGTTTCGGGCACAGCCAATAGAGGTATCTTTTTTTCAGGCTCATCTGTCATTTCCATTGGAAAATTGTTACCCATAAAATTACTTAAGGAAAGCAGCTGGTGTGATTTATTGGTGTCTTCATTGCTCAGAAAGCAGTATGACATTACTGTTGAAACAGTTCCATATAAGCTTCCCTAACAGGTCAAGATAAATGGCCAAATACTTACAGCATACACCCTTGGTGTGATCTCTCCAGTCAATGCATACACCTTGATCAGCACAGGTGGCAGCATAGATCTGCAGACTTGAGCATTCCAGGTCTAAGCCAGGAACTACACAGCTATCGAAAACACAGGCTGCATAGTACTTTTCAGGCTGGACAAACTCGTGGCATGGCTTGAACACACTAGAAACCGAAATATTTATCATTTTTAGTTACTGAATTATCCATACAGTCTTCAATGTGCTTAACATGTTATGACGTGGCAACAGTACTGATTAAGGAGATGTGGACATGGACTATTGATGAGAGATTTTTAGTGAAAGCACTTATCTAGACTGTAACCTCTCAACATAGCTTAAACTATTCTCCCCTCACCTACAAAACACTCAGACACCGATATTTTCAGTCCAAGAGCTACATGAATATTATTGGATAAACCATGAACTACCTCTCTGAAAAGATTTCGTGGGATTTTTTTTAAAATTCTGACATGGTATTCTGAAAATGAAGATTTCTGTTTTCAGTTAGATATTGTTTTCTGCTAAGTGAACGCAGGGAAAGGCAAAAGCATAGGATGGGATGGCAGTGTAGAAGAACATGAGAACATCGACAAAGGTTAATGTAGCAGCAAAAAATAACAACTAGAAAGAGGAGTGGAAGCACCCCATAAAGAAATGGAGCAATAGTTAGAAACAATTTAACTGATCAATAATCCTCAAATTGCCACTAAAATTGAAGATCAAGAGCTTGTAAAACTGAAAGGAATGCCTACCTTCCCCAAATAAGCTCACAGATGGAAGATTCTTTGCAAGGTTGTGCTGGGGTTGTGCTAGGTGTTTTTGTAGGAACTAGGCCTGGAGAGCACTGTGGTTTGGAGGGATCAACAACCTGCCAATGATCTGCCATGGTTTCACAGTTTTCTGCAATGTCTCCATTTGGCAACCTGCAATCATCTGCTGTGTTGTTGTTGCAAGTACCTAAGATTGGCAAGGGGAGAAAGAATTCACTCACAGATTTGTTATCAAATTCCATTCATCTTTATAGCAGAGCAGATTGGCAAGGGGAGAAAGAATTCACTAAAAGATTTGTTACCAAATTCCATTCATCTTTATAGCAGAGTTGTCATTGTGGTTATCTGAGAGTACAAAAATTACAAGAGTAAGCCTTACCACACTGTCCCTGAGTGTTGTTGCCAAACAGGCTGTAGGGCATTCTGATGGAAAAGGACAAACCGTTGTAGGTCACATTCATTTTCAGCTCAGGAATTTCCACAACACGATTTATGCCTGACTCATAGATGCTCACACCAAACTTCTTATAAGGCAAAGCCACTGGCTGTTTGTTTACTGTCACCTAATAAATAAAGGAAAACAGAAAAGAGAGATATATTTAGTTTGACATTAGAAAACAATTAACTGTTCCTTTGCATTGCAGAGAGAATGTATGGGTAATTAATATCCTTTTCATTTCTAACAAGTGTCTCTGTGTTTCCTTTTATGTTACAGGAAAGTAAACTTATTTTCTCTGAGCCAAAAAAAAAGCCTATCAACCACTGACAAATTAGGCTAAACCCCTACACTCAACAGACTTATTAGAGTGACTATGGCATTGAGGAGACCTTGTGAAAGTGGAATATAAAATTCGCCTAAATTCATACTGCATAAAGTTTTAACTTTCTTGGCATAAGGGGAAAGTTCTTGTAGGAAAATTAAATACAAGAAATAAGCCTAAATCTGTACTATTTATTTTAATACAGTACCCATGATATACCTATGGAAGTAACACTACTGCTTTTACTCAGCAATGGTAGATTTCTTTGCTTTAGGGAAAAATAAAAGAGGTCTAAATGTTGCAAATTTTCAGCTATATGCTGCAACCCAACTTGTAATATTCCCACACAGTAATGTACAAAAATAAAGCAAACAAACTGCACAAAGCTCCAAAAACACCCCACAAACACTTCTCACCCGATTCTGAAGCTCCAAAGCTGGGACATCATGTTTATCAATGGACTAAACACATAAGTGACACAAATCAAAGCTAGCAATGGTACTTTTTAAAATGCTTAAGCCCAGTACTTTGTCGTTATGTCCTCTTAACGTTGTCTCCTCCCATTCAGCATTGATTGATTTCCTTTGTTACATTAATTATAAATTGATATATTTTATATCCTTAACTCTTAGCAATTTATCCACATTTGGTATTTAGGAGACATAATGGACTACAAATATTTGAGATTAAAAAAAAATAAGTAGAAATTTTTCCCCATTTTCCTATTTTACAATCTAAACTGGTATTGAATCTAAACCACATTGGTTTTCATTTTGTTCTCTATGCATTGTGAATATAATTATCAGGCTGCTGTGTTATTAATATTTGTATCAAGAAATCAGTGGTAACTTTCTCTAATACCTCTACTTGTAGAGTATTTGGTTGCACTGTTGCTATCCGCACTTCCTGAGTCTCATGTCTCACAATGAGAGTCCGAGGACAAGAGACTACGTCCCGTGCATCGCAGTGGTAGTTATCAATGTAGACACCAAAGTTGTCAACTTTCTTATTAATCTCTTCCACAAGGACATATGTACAATTCCCTTGATAACTGTAGTACAGTCCATCAAAAGTCATGTAATGTGGGTCTCCCCAGCCAGTGCAGTAGCCTAAAAAAACCCATACAGCTAAGTTAGTCTCGCATAGAAACAGAATCAGGTCAGACTACAAACACAATCTGTAGGTGTGGGATTCATCTCCCTGAACTTTTAGCATTTAAATTTTGAAAGTGTGCATGTCAATGCATGAGCTCATTATCTAGAAGTCATCAATAAAAGAGAAAAACAGGCATGGTTCATCTGACATTACTGAGAGACAACTGAGAATAGGATTAACTGCACCCTAGATATATCTTTATCAAGAGTCTGAACAAGTAATTTATATATAGACTTCTAGCTCATAGGTCTGGAAATGTAAATTCTGCTTTGGAAGACTGATTTATTCTACTAACAGAACAGTTATGTAGAAATCATGACAACTTAAGCAAATCCCTCGATTAGCTAAACAGAATCAACAAAGCACTCCAAAGAGACCAACACCAGAAGACTGTCTTGTGCAGGCAATACTTGTCTTGTGCCTTGTGCAATACTTGTCCCCTTATAAATATTGTTCGTCTTAACAGTAGTAGTTTTCCCATAGGAGATAAAATATTCAACAAAAATATATACTTACAGTCACACTCCCAGTGCCAACAGCATCCATCCTCATCAATGACTGGCACAGGAGAAAGCCCATTGGAACATGTAGGTTTAGGAGGTGGATTACAGATTATGGGAATCACCTGGACTACATTGTCTTCTACACATATTGCCTTAGTGCAGTTACAGAGCCACCATGACTCGCCTTGCTGTGTTTGAAAAGAGAGAGGGAGGGGAAAGAGAGGGAGAGAAACCTTATGAAGCAGTGAGACTGACAGCAGTTATGCCTGAATATCTTTTGCAGGTTTTTAAAATGCCATATGTTTATCAACAATTTTTGCCTCCAGAATCTGAAAATAGGAAGTGCATTAGTCAGCATTATCTAGGCCTACAAGATGAGCTAGCACTAGTGAGAGCTGCTAAGTGAAAAGCATTACTTACAAAAGTGAAGCCAGTAAACCAAAGTTGGAATCACCATTTCTAGTTTCAGCTATCTAAAAGCTAGATGTTTGATCTAATCTCACCACCTAGACATGCTCTCTAATCAAAGGTGAAAGACACTGATCAATATCAATGATTAATGTATGACCAATTCCCATCCATCAATGCCTAGAACAGATTAACAGCCAAAGATACATTGAACACTGGCTGTTTGGGGAGAAATGTCCAGGGTGATTACATGCATGCATTGTGATTGTATGCATTTTTTCTATCTTCCACCAGTTTTTCAGCCATGTATAATTTTTATTCCTGCACATCTACTGAACAAATTGGTAGGCAATTGGTAGGGTTGGGGCATCCACCACTTCCCTGGACAACCTGTTCCAGTGTCTCATCACCCTTAAAGTAAACATTTTTCTAATATCTAACCTAAACTTCCCCTCCTTCAGTTTGAGCCCATTACCCCTTTTCTTATCATTGCAGCTTCTCACACAGAGTCCCTCTGCAGGTCCTTGTAGGCCCCTTCAGATATTGGAAAGTTGCTCTGAGGTCTCCACACACTCTTCTTCTATCCAGGCTGAAAAGCCCCAACTTCCCTAGCCTGTCCTCATAGGGGACATGCTCTAGTCCTCTTATCAATTTTGTGGCCTCCTCTGGACTTGCTCCTAGAGTTCAATGTCCTTCTTATGTTGAGGGCACCAGAACTGCATACGGTATTCCAGATGGAGTCTCACAAGAGCGGAGTAGAGGGGGAGAACTTGAAGGACTAATAACAGTACATAAGCTATCAATCCAAATATCAGTGGAAGTCATGCTGATACCCAAGAAAACAGAAAGAAATAGAATGGACTCATACTTCCTTTTCTATCCAGATAAATTCCTACTCTGTGTGTTACTAACATTGAAGTTATGTGTTTAGTCTCCATCCAAAACAAAATACTAAAAAAGCATGAAATCTACTCACCTCATAAGATTCATTAGGTAAAATAGAACAGATTTTTTTAGGAGTGGTTGGTGTTAGGCTTGTAGTTGCACTTGAGCCATTAACTGGAGTAACTGGAGTACTGTATGTAGAACTTCCTGTAATGGTGACTGCAGTTGATGTTACAGTTGGCTGAGATGTAGTAGTTGAGCCAGGCGAAACAGTTTTGGTGGTGGTGGTGGTGGTGGTTGCAGTGATTGTAGAAAAACTACTAGAGGTTGTTCCTGAAGTGGTCGTAAAGGTTTCTGTTGGAGTAGTACCAGAGGTGGTGACTGACACAGGAGTGCTTGATACTGTTGGCAGAGATCCAGTAGTGCTAGAAGTAGACTCTGGAGAGGATGGTCCAGAAGTTGTGGTGCTAGTGACGACAGCTGATGTTGAAGTAGTGAGAGTTGCAGTGGTTGTCATTGGGCTACTTGTTTCTGTTATTACTGTGGTGGTGTGGGGAGTGGACCCTGATGATGTGGGGCCTGAAGTGGTGGTGGCTTT